TGAATCCATTATGGGCTCATGTTGTAGCTAAAAAGTGTGCATGATGAAAGCACTTGGCAGCTACAAAAGCCAAAGGGCACACATCCACAGCCCTGGGCCTGTAGATGGGCCATAATGCAAGTGGAATTAATTGACAGCCAGAGACCGCAGGAGCTTGCAGAATGAACCAGTGGATGTGTGTCCAACCCGCGTGCACGGTGTGGCCACGCCGAGTCTCCATCCCCAAACAACGTGCAGTTCACAATACCATGCAGGAATTCACGGACCAGGAATTTAAATGTTGATTTCCAGCTGCCAGGCAGCATAACAATACATTCTTAGGCGATTGCCAGTGGGTGTGGTGGTGACCTTGTCTGGGCATGAAAGTATTGGATTTAAGAAACCCCTTTGGGAATCGACCAAATGCCCTCTCTTAATGTGTTCCTTTGATAATCTGGTGTGAACTCTTGTCAGGGGTTTTGAAAAGAACATTTATTATTCAACTGTGAATTAGGAAAACTGAGAAGAAATCTTTGGCTTCATTGTGCCATCCTGTGAAACAACGTGGGCATGTCTTTGGAATGTTGTGAACATGATTAACTTGTATTACAATACCATCAGATAAAACCTTCCCATTTGCAGTTCACTTCAGTTTGTGTGGATAATTGTAATAGGCATGCTAACTTGCTTTAAAACTCACCTCGTGAAGCTATAAGAGGTGATATTGCAAAGCAAACAATTTATTTAAATGCCCATTTTGCTATTTAAAACACTTGGTACTCTTTAATGTACAGTAATCACAATGCAGAAAACGTATCTTCCCCTTACAGGTGTTCCCCTGGTGATTGAGGCCCAGGGAGACCAATAGAAACAGTGAGATCACGATCCAAAAAGGATCAAATATATGTGCTCATGCCGTTTTGGAAAATATTGTGTTGTTTTTGTAATGTCCACATGCTAAGAAAGGACATGAGCTCAGCTAAAATTGCTGTTAATGCAACATTCCTTCGAGTTAAATTCCTTTTTTTAACTTCGCTTTGGCCGATGTTTGTTGTCCAAGAGCCATTTTTTTCTTGTTTCGAATAGCTGGGGTAATCTGTAGCATGTGTTCTAGTTAGTGTTTTTTTTTAAATGCTTACGTGATTAACCATGGTGAGTCTGCTTATAGAGGCCAGAGATGGAGAAAACAAATGTATGTTTTCCAACAGAATAGCTTTCACGGGAATATAGTCCAATGGAGTTTTTTGTATTCGAGATTTTCATAATAGAATAAGGGCTTTGCTGAAAAGCCGTGAAGTGTTTTACTAAATTTGTTGTCCACCCCTTGCTCAATTTTGCCTACAAAAGAAGTGCCAGATTTACAACGAGCCTTCTGACTGCAGCAACAGCAGTCGTTCTTTGGCTGCTACCCTCTTAAGTTGTGGAGAGAGAGAGAGAAAAAATACGTCTCCTTGTGTTCTGCCTCGATTCTAATCACAGGGTGGTTGGGCGGTGGACAAAATAAATAGAAGTTACAAATTACTGGAGTATAATGTAACTAGACACAAAACATTACGGCTGAGCTGTGTCTCGTCTAATGTAGACACAAACGTGCAATGCCTTCGAGGTGTACAATTACTTCGAGGTGTGTAATCTAAACGGCGATAACAAATGTAATGGAATTACCTGTTTATATTACACGTAATTTAGATGTTGACCCCTACCGTGGCGGCGATGCTTGGTGGTGTAGCGGCCAAGTTTGTGGACACTGCCGCGAGTTTGTGGACACTGCGTCGGCAAAGCCCCCCGCTGTTCCAAGGCTAATGCCCGCTGTGGGACAGTGGGCTGGTGAGGACGTTTTTTATCTTCCGTCCATGTGTCGTGTGACGTGCGGGCAAGTAATGATGAGGGTTTTTGCTGGACCTTGGCAAGTTAAACGCTTTGACAGAAAGCACAGGCTGAGGGAGGGGGACTCCCTTGTGCGTCTGAACACGAAAGACAAAGACGAAGATCCCCGTATAGCCTGTAACACACTGTTGGGGCAAGTGCTGTTGTTAACGAGCACCTATGAAGGCCGCCACAGCACACGAGGGGGTGGGTGGCCCTAGTGGCGATGTTTACACGCCGCACCAGGTACTCGTTTGAGGCTGAGTCGATCTAGGGGAGAACCAGAACTGATGTCAGATAATTGTCACTGGTGTTGGCCGTGAGCGGGAATCGAACCCGGGTCGCTGGGCTCGTAGGGCAGCGTAGCGCTAACCGCTTCACTACCGCTCTCCACACATCCACACTTTCTTGCATATATATTTAAAGAGGCAAACACAAAATGGTCAGCATTTGTTATGTTTCATCGGCTTAGACTGTATAGGTTTTGTATGTACTTTTCCTTGAATATTGTACAGTAACTCTTTAAACAACCAATGACTTTGTTTTGCAAGGCCATAAATATGTAGAATTGGGCGGTGATGTATTGGATTGATGGATGAATAGGTTTATAAAATTATCATATTTTAAAACATGGCAGTTTTCTGAGCGGTAATTTTGGCTACCTTCAAATGCTATACATAATTCAGGTGAAGGGGGGAAGCCGAGTTCGATTCCCCATCATGACTAGCGTCAAGGGTGATTGATAGCTGAACTTGCCTTGCCATTACCCCTTCCCTCCATTATTTTCACCAACGCACACTGACCACCGACCCCACTGAAAGGCACGGTTGGCTTCATATGGTGGGAAAGAATGTCAACTTACTTACGACCATCGTGGTGGAGTCTGGTATGGTCAACACAACCCCAATGCAGACAGTGTGGGGAGGCCTACAAACCATCTGTGGATTGACAACGGGCTATACATTGCAAATGTGAAATCACACGACACGCATATCGTAAAATACAATTGAGAATTCGTGCTCAAGAAATGTAGCTGCCCAAGCGGCTCAGCGGTAGAGCAAGCAGCTTGCAACGTGAAGGTTGCGAGTTCAAATAGCGGTGAGGGAAGGAGGAGGGTTCACTTGGCATATCGACCGTCCCTCCAGGTTATACCTGTCCCCCTCCCCCGCCATGAAAATAATATTATTTTGTTTATTTTGCTGCTCTAAATTTCCACGCGATGTCACTTCGTTGAGCCACCTTTTTTGTGGCCAGGTTGCTTCTGAAACTAGAAGCTAAAATGCCTCGGTGGGCTTTTTCCTGGTAAATAATACAAAAAATAGTTCCGATTTTTTAAAAAAAGTTATTTGTTTATCTTTTCCTTTACTTTGCACTTCTATCGTGTTTTTGTATTGTTTGTTGTAACGTTCTGATCCACACCTACCGGACATCTGTGAGAAAGAGCTCGATTGCTCATCGGATTCATCCAGTATTAATCGATATTCTGATTCTGGATGTTCCACCTTGAGCTTCAGGAGATGAGCAACTTCCAACAGTTGTCACTTGAGTAGGAAATATTTTTCTTTCATGACCGCAGAATACATATATGCTTAATAAGATTACTGCAACAATAAATTTTGCATTTCATATCGCAAGTGGAAGGTTTTGCATAGAGACCCAATTGTACCGGTTAAAGCGAGGTTTTTTTTTTCTTCAGCGTCTCTGGTTTCCATAATTGCCCGTTAGGAAGGAGGAATTGTGAAACTGACGTAACTGTTTTTATTTCAATCTTTTCATTTAAGGAGGATGTAAATAGTTATTTTCGCTGTAATAGCACTGGCAGTAGTGAGAACACAATGATGTCAGCTCGCAACAATGACACGTGGTTAATTCAGCATGGAAATAGTGCCATTTCAAATCAGTTCTCAGGAAGTAAAAAAGAATACGTCTGGTGTTTCCAATCCAAAGGGTATGCGGTAGGGATGTGCGGCGTCTCATTGAGTGTTCTCCTTCCAGCTGCCAAGTCCTCATTGTTTGAGGCTGCTAACATCCCACAGTCTGAACGCGGTGAAGTGAGGATATGGGAGAGCATCACATGCTAAAGTGAGGACAGCGGTCACGTAGTACAGCAACAACTGTGCATTGGATGATCTATCACGCACCGGTGCTTGCTGTAGTGTTTCCATTAGCACACTGGTTTATTGCAATCCAGCGGATTCCGGTTCAGTCTCCCAGCGTGGCACTTGAAACGAAATTTAAGCGCATTGAATGCCCCACCTCGGTCCACCCAACAGTATAAATGGCTAGACCGCAGTGGTTTGACAGCTCGCCGCATGTTGGTGGGGTAAAGTGTGGGTACTCCCATGACATCTGGCTAACGTGTAAGCGTGGGCCAATATGCCCGCTAGAGCAGTGGTTCTTAACCCGGGGTGCACGCAACCCCCGGGGGGTGCGAGATGCCCTTTCTGGGGGTGCGAGACATGGCCAGATTTTTTTCGAAGGTAAATAATCGAAAACACAAATTAAGCACTGGCACGTAAGTACAACTACTTTGTTTCATCAAACCTATGTATTTATTAACATTATGCATTTTTTTTTTACAATAGAGAGCCAAAGGTGTGCAAGGCTGCAGTAGAGGTTAAGAACCACTGCTCTCGAGGGAGCTGTCCAGAGTTCTGCAGAGTGGAGGTCCCTTCCGTCAGCAATGACTTCGGCAAGAAATTGCAGGGCTGCACCTCTATCTTGTACTTATGTATGTTGAACTTGTTTCGCACCGTACGTAGCCAACCGTGTTAATTGTACGTCATGTACCCCATCTTATCTTGGCAAAGTGGTCTTGCGAGGGCCTATGTGTGCTTTGCATACCAGCCTAACTGGCTCTGAATTAAAAGTGATAATTCATGCGGGGGTGTCATGAATATCACCACCCCGTGCCTCCAATCCCCCCCTGGCACAGCGATGAATTGTTGCCATTCAGGACCAGGATTCGATACCAGAACCATTCTATCCCCCCCCCCCTGCTCCATTGGCCTAACTAAAACAAGGTCATAAAATTAGCAAATAATTTTCCCATATTTAACGATGTAGTTTCTTAGACGTGCGATTCGATGAGTTTGTCGCGAGGCTTAAGCAACGATATTAATTGACGACAAAAAAACTCAACACGGCCACCAATATCACCACCAAATTGTTGTCTATTGTATATATTTTTTTGCAGTGTTTATTGACAAATGTGAGTTTTTAAAATGATTATCAATTGTGCTTTTGCACCACTGCCAATGCAACAGCAGCATAACCAAGCAATGTGTTTAATAATGAGATGCGTTCTCCTGTAAAGGCAGCATGTGGCTTGCAAGATGATATTGTCGATGGCATTGGAAATTGTTTATTGAAAGAAACCCTGTGTCATACAGTACAATGGCAATGATGGCTTAAGATGTAACTTTACACTCCTACGACATTCAGTGCCATAGCAACCCATAGTATTTAAATGTTTACATCCATCTGACACATTGAAAGTAATACCAGCTCACCTACAATTTTATTCATCATATTTATAGCAACGTAAGTGAGTCGGAACGTTTCAATTTAAAATCACAGCCAGAGTCTGCAATCCTCTAGTTGAAGTTCCTTTGGAAATGTAACGTGAATTGTCAGTATACACTCATCATTACAATAGTATCTTTGCGAACAAAAGCAAGGCAGTTGATATGCTGATAAATAAAATATCGAAATGGTTATTGATATTGAAATCTAATTTTGTTAGAGCAAAAGATTAAACGTAACAATAAAGAAATGTTAAGTTATATTCTAAGCATAGTACTCCACTGGGCTGTACAACCAATACTCAATACAACCAATAATAAAATATTTTTTTATAAACAATTGCCTGCAATTAACAAAACAAAGTTCGGTTAATATCTTTTTTTAAAGTTAAAGATTATTTATTGCATGGCGGAATCACATGTTTACACATTCCTCTATGTCATAGCTGCAAGCTCTTTAATGTTTACAATTGAGATTTATAGCATTTTAACCCTTTTTTGTCTTCAAGGCACAATAGGAAAAGTAATGTTGTTTGCATGTTTTAAATTCAATTCATCCACATCAACATCATTAACCATTGTGCACACAGTCTCTCACACCCACACACATTCATAACCTTTGCCTTCGTCCTCTACACATCTGTAATATTCAGATTGTGGCCAGTCCTTTGTGATTAAAATATCTCCATGTCTTAGGTCCTGTATTCCCCACTGAAAATACTGGTTTGGTTTGTACCCTGTATCACTTACAAGACATTCCGGTGTTCAATTAAAGAACCTTTCCTCATATTATCTGATTGCCATTTAATTTTCTAGGAGTTAAAGTGAATTGAATTTGTTAGGTTTTTTTTTAGTGTCTGCTCATTCCTCCCTTTACATTTACATATTAGTCCTATAAAATATATAACTACTCATGGGAAGACATGAAATAATGATATTTGCTCATTGTAAACTCAGGCATGTATTCCCTTTCTTTATTAGTACCCATTCTGTAACTCACAATATCTTATCTTTGTCATTGATATGGCATGTGCGTCTATTTGTATTTCATCACTACTCCGCTGCATTTACAAATATTGAAGAATGCGCGGATAAAAAAAAAATGTAATTCGATTGCGATTTTTACCGATTATTTACCTCTCGTGTGCACGTGCGCAGCAAGGAATGAGCGCACCTTTGCCCAATATTTTTTTGTGACTGTATGCACGTATGTGTGTTGAACTTCTTTCGCACCGAACGGAGCCAACCGTGCTAATCGGACGTGCAGGGGCGGGGCCGGCAGTGGGGGGGAGAGGACAACAAAAAATCCCACTCGTTGCAATTTTACATCTGAGAGTTTTGCGAGGTGGTGGGGAGAACGAATGATAAAGGAGTGCGTGCTCGCGTCGCGCACGTGCAGTTTCGACGCGGCGACGCACACAGTTTAGTTACGCGTCCGTCCTCGGATCGCAACCATGCTGAGGTGGGGGAGGCGGTCCAGCCTCGCGTGCCGAAGGGCGGCACCCCTAAGGGTTGGGCCTGATCATCATGAGGACCTTCTTGAGGGAGTACGAGCCTCCGCGGAACTCGGCCCAGTAGACGCCGTCCTGGTACTTACTGCGGTAGTGGCCGCCGCGGTACCACACGCCGTTGAGGTTGGAGTGCGCACAGGCGTTGTACCACCAGCCGCCCTTCTGGAAGTGAGCGCAGTTGCCTGCCAGGGAGGGAGAGCGCTCAGCGTGACGTTATTTCCAGCGGCCCTTTTGCTTTGTTTAGTTTGGTCTCGTTTCACCGCCCACTTTATTCCGGCTGTGCTCTTTGCATCGTGCGATAAGGCGAAAACGAGCTATTTGGAAAGTTCATAGAGTGACACTTTCCCCTGTGTGCCAGAGAATGGCTGCGGAATTAAACGTTTTCCCAGGACTTTAGAAAAAAAAAACACTTCAATCAGGTCCTTTTAGCCTTTTACACAGTAGGGCTGCACTTTCCCACATCTCCTGATGTGAGATTGTTTGTCTTCAGTGGAGTCAAATGAGAAGCAATGTCCACAAAATATAGCCAAATTTAGTGAGAATCCGAATTTTATGTTACACATTTTTTGTGTGCACGTGTGACCATCATCTTGGTAAACTTAAGAACCCAGTTTAATTACGGGTAGCTGAAACCCAGATTTATACCTTTTGATGTCAGCGGTGTCAGTTCGGTACTCTGATGTATGAGCAACCTAATCACTTTGGTTATTTAAAAATTATAGATCAATCACGCGGCACTGTATATGTCGATTTTCTGAAAAAAATATATATGCTGTAGGCGCATGGTGAACAGCGTGAAGATTTGCTAAAAATGTCATCGAGCATGCATAAAATACAACAAAACCTACATTATCGTCATTTAGGGAGATGCCAAAGCAATTACTATTGTAGGTGATTAGGCCAGTACTTTGGCGACCTGCGTTTCACTCTCAATCGCCGATGTTCACACATTAAACGAACCAAGGGCAGGGTCGGGGCAGGTTCAGAAAGCCCTTGCCTGTGCTGGCGACATTTGAATGGCGGAAATTTGCTCCAGGTGCATCGTGTTACGGACACACCTGTGCGAGGGTTACAACCTGTCCTGGCTTAACCAGAATCGTCCTCTATTCGAGGTAGCTGCTGTCCTGGGACATTAAGAGCCTCATATTTTATTATTCAGTGGCAGAACATCAATGATAACAATAATAATACACCAACTCAGGATGACGATGCCTTTTATGCGTAGTTCTCCCCTCTCGCGTCATCAGAGGTGGCGTGGCGGTGCCCTTAACCTGCAGCCACGTGGGCACGCGGACCGTCGGCCGGTTCTTGCCCCGCGGCCCCGTTGCATTGTGGGGGGGGGGGGTGATACCTGAGTAAGAGTCGCGGTCGCGGTCCAGCGTGGTGAACTGCCGGTTGTTGTGCCAGATGAGCGAGTCGCCGGCGTTCCCGTTGAAGCGGCCCAGCCGCAGGCGGTAATGGTCACTCTCGTTCTCCACACGGAAGCTGGCGTACTCCGCAAACACCTTGCGGCCCTGCCAGTCCTCCATGAGCACCAGCAGCTTGTAGTTGGTCTGGTTCGTCAGCCAGTAGAGGTTCTCCAGGCCCAGCCAGTACTCGCTGTCGATGTTGCCGAAGCCAAGCTACGTAGGCGTCAAGAAGGTAAGGGCAAAGGGATGTACGAGCGGAACGTATGTCGTCGTCTTCCTTTATCGTTTACCCATTTCACTCTTTTGCCTGTTGTGCTATTGTGTTTGTGTACATGCGTACACGCGTGTCGGCATGTTCAGGATCAGAATGTTTATTTCCACCAGAGGAATCCGATGAGCCTATAAAGCTCTTTTTTGCACATGTCCAGATGGTATGTTATTGCGTCCAACCATCCGCTCATCTTTGTGCCATTCATTGCGCCTCATTACAATGGAATCAACGCAGACCCGTTACCAAATGCAACCATAATGCACCTGATCTTGTCAGATCTTAGCAGCTAAGCAGGTTTGAGCCTTTGGCGAGTGTATGGATGGGCGACCACCAAGTGCAAAGCAGTTGCTCTGGGCTGCTGTTGAGAGAGTTTTTAAGCACAGGGCGGTGTAGCAGTATCCACTGTTGTACTGCACTATTCTCAGCATCTATATCGCCTGCATTCACCAAACCCGCACGTAATTGGGGAGGCCCTCATCCAGAAAGTTGGTTGCCAAAAAGGTTGTAAATGTACACGGAGTTAACTTTATCTGGAGGCATTTACGACAATTGTGTGCGAACGTGTTGTGTCCGAGCAGTTATATTATCGGTAGAGCGTGAGCATGGAGTCGGTGATATTCTTGCACGAAAAGTGATATCCATGCATTGACTTAGAATGGGTTAAAGAAGGATATTTTCTCACTGAAAAATTACATTTTATATTTTTACTTAAAACCGAAGAGGAAAGCGTCTCCCTGCTGGTGAAATGTAAACCTCCAACACCTGTCTCGTGTTCATTTGGTACGGGGCTCAACATCAATCCTCATGGACAACACGGTCTTAAGTTGCACCATTGTAGCATGCGAAAATGTTCAGTCTGGGCATCAAAGACCATACATAGCCTCACGGTGATTAATTTATTCTGAACATTATAAATCTCCAACACCAAAGCATTTTTGTAAACTGAACCAGCATAATACTGTGGGGTTTGTACATACCTTTAGCATGAGTTATTTCGCTATCTGTCTCAATTTTGTTTAATCCGTCATGGCATTTGCTTATGTGTGCTGCCGGATGGATGCACGTTAATTTGACTTCCACTGTAAGCCTTCGTCTTGACGGTATAAATTGGTAAACCGTTTTGAATAGTGCTGTTTGCAGTGAATAGATCCACACTGAAAATCGATGATGTCGAATCCTTTAGGGACACTAACTCAATATCGTGATCTGGCAGATGTATGACTCAACATTCTGATGTGTAAAATTGTTTTGTTTTCTAAATAAGCAGCAGCCAGTCATTTCCATTGCTAGAGGCTTGGTGCGTTAAATGTCGTGTAATTTTTTGTCTAATTCATGGGTGCCGAGTGATCACATATACAAGAGCGATCTGGATATGGATTGCAACGGCAGATATCGACAAATTCGCATTTCTAATGGATTTTTGCAGCCCTTGTCTCAAGTTTGCCTTGCACGTTGATTTAATCTTTTGAAACAATGGTACCTCTATTGCAGCAAATGTGAGGGGGAATTAATCGCAGATGGTTTGGAAATCAACGTTCACTGCAGGCGTACGTTTCGTGTGCCCAGTGTGCTAAACATATTCGTAAATATATTCGTAAATACGAGGAATACTGTGAATATTAAAGTGTGGCCAGGGAAAATCAAGCTGTCACGTGCGCACACAGTCATCACCGCCATACGTTAAGTGTGTGCGCTCAGACATTGTGTCGGTGGGAAATGAATAAGGGTTCCTATTTCTGCAAAGCTTCAGTAGACTGAAAAGTCGTTGGCAGTCGTTAACATTTGTTTTGCCAAATCATACGTACTTAAGGAAAAGTAAGACCTGTATATCTGAATCTACCAGCTGTAATATAAGGCGCAGTATGTATATTTATGGACGTATGTTGAGGTTCTTATACTTTAATTTAATTATTACGTGTCATGCATGATGTCATAAGCCACGGGATTGTGATATTTAATAGAAGGAAGAAAACACACAAAATCGAAATGCAGCTGGGTTTTGTGAACTTTGAAATTTATGAAGCCATTTAAATCGTAGAGTTCTTGCCAAAGTCTGACAGAGTATGTACTGTTGCCTCAGGTGTGCTGTCTGGTAAACACACCGTGTTTAACATATGCTATGCAAAAATCCCACGTTGGTGAAAATTACTTAATACTCCAAACTAAGTCTGACTTGCCCTTTTAGGAGTAATAATAGTAATTTGGAGCTAATTATTGCAGCTTGGGCATTTTTATATTAGCTATAAATAAAGAATAATTAAAGATAAATAAATAAAAATTGTACGCTGAGGAACAGGGGGGGTGAGTTTGGTGGGGCGCCATCATGCGGCGGTTAGCGCACTTTGCTACAAATCCTGCAACCTGAGTTTGATTCCTGGTCACGGCTGCCATAAGTGGCGATTGATATCTGAATCAGTCCTCGGGTCCCCTTTTACCAATCCGGACGGTCCAGTGTGGCTTAAATATGGCCAAGCAAACCTCATGACTGACATGGCATCGTTCAGTGCATTGGCAGAGGGCTGTTAATGATCATTATTTTTCTTCTTTGGTTCTTTCGGTAAAGTCACGTAGAATGAGAATAAAATAATAAATTGATAAAATAAAATAACACAATAATATTCTCACGACGTTTCGGCCTTCATAAGGTGAAGGGACGAGACTGTCTGGTAGGACAGCGCTGGAGTGAAAGAGCCACGTTCAGATCACGGCCTTTAAGCTGTGTGAGAGGAACAAAGCGCCCTCAACTTTAGCACCACGGATAGCTACGGGCCCCGTTCAGACGGACGAGTTCGTCCATGGTCGGAACAGAGGAGGGGGAGAGAGACAGCTTAGAGTCGCGGCATCTCTTCAGAAAGGTGAGAGACTCGATTAGTTGAGCCTTCTTATCCCGAAGTCTGTTGAATGATCTTAAGGATGTGTGGAATCCCTCCCCGTAGAGGCGGTTAAATTTCGATTTAAAGCTTTCGTGACTGCAATGATTAATCTTCTTTGGTTCTTTCAGGAAAGTCACGTAGAATGAGAGACACAAGTGGAGACAGCCCCAATAAGATCAGAGAAAGTGAAAGTTTATGTCAGCAACATGGGACCAGACCCATACTGCAGTGGGCAGAGAATGGTTGCTGATATCAATTTAGTCACGATGTGACATCGTACTTTTAGCATGCTTTATATATTTTAAGCATGTGAGTATAATTCCATTTTTACAAGTTACCAAGTCGGGGCATGTAATGATTCACAATTTGAGATTGCGATTTGTTTCAAGAACCTATCATTTGTGTCTCATTTTAACTGTCAGTCTTCAACATTGGTGCAAGAGTCAATGGGTGAAGTTCATGGGAACAGTAACCATCTCATATTCTTATCTTAATTTACTTCATATAGCGCTTAACCAAGGTGCTGAACAGAGATTTAGCAATAGTAAAGCAATACAGTGTGATGAGATGAGTTGATGAGAATGATGGGGAGGATGGTACCATTGTACCGCAGTAGTGGTAGCAGAGCTCTAAGGAGGCCACCAGTTGCATTGAGTGACTGGAATAAATCGGCGAGTTTCTGAACCATCAATTAACCTGTAATTGGACGCCATGGTGGTGAGATGTTAACTACCTCACCTGGTATACAGGAGGTTGTGGGTTCGATTATGACCCTGGCACGCCTGCTATATATATTTGGAGTTTGCATTCCCCTCTCCTGGCGGTCAAGTGGATTTTTCTCCAGGTCCTCCGGTTTTTCCCTACACATTTTATAAACACGCGTTTAGAGATTTTGCCTGATATACATTTCCACGTGATAAGCCACTTCGTTAAGCTATCATTTGTGGCCAGGTGGCTTCTGACAAAGAGCTATCGAGCTCATTGCGCCTTACCTAGTAAAATAGAAAATAGTTTAAAAAAGAAAATTCCAACTGTAGCCAAATTTGTGCTTTGTACGACTGCACGTCGAACCGTCGGGTAACGCTATCGGGGGCGGGGGGGGGGGGGTGTGGGGAGCAGGCAAAGTCCTCCTCGGCCAGCCAGCGTTATACCACGCACACCAACCTTGTAGTTTTCCCAGTTGCGGAAGAAGTTAACCGAGCCGTCCTTGCGCCTCTGGACGATGAGCCAGCCGCCCGGGTCGTGGAATTGCTCGCACCACGCCTGCATGAGGCGGCTCGTTCCCTCGGGCCGGATGAGGTAGATGCCGCTGGTCTGGTGGCCCTCGTCCCAAGCATGTTGGCAGTCCCGCCAGGGCCCTGGTTTGTGTAGGGGGGAAAAGAAGAAGAAGAAGAAGTAAACTCAAATCAATCCAAAATAACTTTTTTTAAGAGACAGAAACATGGCTGAGAATATCACGTGGCTCCCATTTAGCACCTGCGATTAGCACGGTTGAGCTACGTACGATGTGAAAGAAGTTCAACATGCATGCATGCGTACGTGTGCACAATTGCACATGGCTATAGCCCCTTTGTACATGAACGGCAGGATGTAAATGTAGGGACATTAAAGTTAAATAATTTGTCTTGGTAATCTGGACTAGTTATTTAGCGTCTATAATTACAATACTGTACAGAGGGCTGTATAAAGACTTTAATATACATGAACAGCCGTTTTTATTATCCACTGCTGGATTTGGGCTTTCCCATGCCGTGCGTGATATGGGTGTTATTTGATTATATGGGGGATCGCGGGTGAATCATTAGAAATTGTATGTATAGTGATTTTTTACTTACATGCACATAGTCTTATTCACAAATGACATTACAAAGTGGCATTTAAATAATATATTCAGAAAATATACTCATCTGTCCACTCTTTTCTTATTGTATTCTGGGAATTTGGGAGGACGTTGCTTTTCAGTTTCTCTCCCGAATTCCTGTTGAGGACCTGCACCATTCTCCCCGAGTTAGCCGGCTCTGCGTCAGATGATGCCCTGAAAGTCTTAAACCGCTCGCAGGTAATTTTTACGTTGGTTGTGAAGCAACGTGGCAAAAGATTCTGCGGTGTGGCCCAAGTCTTGACGGGGCGTCACATGCACCGGCGCGTAAATCGCCCGGCGGAATACAGCTCGAGTTGCGACGAGCGCTGCGCTTTGGTTGTCGGGTTATGGACGTGTCATCTTCACGTTGAACGTTTATTGAGACTAACTTTGCGATGAACTTGAGCAAAATTTTCCGTTTGAATATTTCATGAGGAAAATCTTTAGCGCTAGATTGTAAAACAAAACAAAAAATGCTCGTAGGTTTGCATTGAATTCATTCCTTTGCATTTGTATTCTCATTAGTAATCTAATTTAATTACCCATGATGGCCTCGCTGGGTATCAATACTTTTTCGGGAAGGTCCTGCCGCCTTAGGTTGTTTGGCCGGTTCTATATTGACGAGTGTTTGGCATGCAGCGTATACGATGGTGACACTCAAAGCTCTGTACAGATAGATTCAAGAACCCATTGCTGTATCTATGATACCTGGAAATCCCAGGCAGTTTCCCATTCAGGTTCTAAACCAGGGTAAATCCTTTTGAGACCTCCTTTGCCAGTAACAAGATATAGTAATAGGTTTTTAATGTAATAATGTAATGTAAAGGCTTACCCCGAGCTCTCAATGCTCTGATAGTGCGCTGTTTTGTGAGTTGTACGCCTTATGGCGTCATCTGGTCCAACACGAGTGGAGACTAGGCTCTAAGAAAAGCCGTCTCGGGTGTGGACCAATCAAATTCAAGGACAGTGCATATCATTATCAGAGTTGTTTCTATTTGTTTGCATTTTTGACTGCTTGTGTTGTGGTTATTGCAAACATGATCCCTTGTATAAAGGTGTCAGTTTTTGTGCCAGCTAAAAGGGTAAAAACCTATTACCAGGGTAAATCCTTTTTAACTTCTGACATGTATTGAAATTGGATCCATTCAAGCCATGTTTGGTCATAAAATGTATTATATATTGTATTTCCCTGCAATATATGATCAGTATAGAATGTTTCAGCTTTACAGGAAGCCAAACGTTATTAGTGAAAATTTGTATGTTTAATTTAAAAACGTTTTGGCATGCACAAGCATATTCAGAGTACAATGCCGACCAGTGTGTAGTAGGTCCAGTCTTGTCAGCTTAAGCATTTGGTCCACAAACAATATGCATGGGAAATTAATTTAATTTACAGAGTTAATTCCTATGTTGGCCAGAACCAGTGTAGTAAGTAAGCATTGGAGAATGTTGAATTCAGTAATAGTTTGAAGGCAATGTGACCAGGACACTGTAGGAATGAATTTTCCTTTTGGGAATATTATTCAGCAATATACCAAACTTTTTGTTTTTAGTATTTTCAATTCATTGCCTGCTGTTAATTAATGCAGATGTTTGGCTTTTACAAACGGTTTATGGTAGTTAATTCATATCGGTTTCAGCATGCCTGCCTGCCTACCTTCCCAGAACGGTAAATTCTGGTTCAATATATAGGAATAGGTAGCCCCATTACTTAAGCGTATGAATTGGCACCATACCTCAAGCTGTAAAAATGTGCAAGAACCTGTATTCGTTTTGAACAGACCAAACGTAAAATGCTAATAATGTTCTGACAACGTATACAAAACAGAGTGATTTCTGTACGAAATATAAAAAAAATGGTTTGAAATAATTCGGTAATTTGATAGTGAATGGGTGTTTTAACGCTTAGAGCTATCCTAAATAATAATAATAATATTTATATTAAAAGCAATTACAATTCCTGACTAGATTCAAAAGATTAGTGTCATCAGCACGGCATGCAGGTGTTGATGTTTTGGCTGTTTCGAGAAGTTGTCATGTGAAGATGCGTTTTTGTTAACCTTTAAGAAGTAACTGGAGATGCTATATCCCTCTTGGCCTGTGAAAGGGCATCACTTGTGGGCTGGGATTGACCACTCCAAACATGTGATTATGTTCTCCGTATGTCCTGTCTGTAGACCTCATTACATGATTACTGATAATGCCTTGGTCATGTGTTCATTGAAAAAAGATCCCAAGCTAATCTCATGGGGAAGCCGGAGGAAATTTGGCAAAATGTCAGTGAACCTGTCAGAAGTTCAGATGCAGCAGGCTGTGCTTGTTGTTCAATATTGAACGTGCTGGGAAAAGTCAAATTTGACATTTCGAAAATGTACTGGCAGTCTAGTTTGTCTGCACTGTGAAAGTGAGAATTGTTTTTCTTCATGGTGGACAGTATTCATCTGGTGTTAAGTATGTATGTTGAACTTTTTTCACACCGTACGTAGCCAGCCGTGCTTATCGGGGTGCAGTGTTAATACTGCTTTGGTATTTTTACATTATCAAGTGCGGCTTTAATTTTTAGTGTAGCTTTTATACAAAGAGACATCTTAGATCTGTGTAAAGTGATGTGATGTATTCAAGCCTCAAATATGCTTGTGTTCTTGCATTTGCATGTGCCTCCTTGATAACGTTTGATGTCCTAAATTAAATTTGAGAACACACGTTCATATCCAGGACAGCTTGGATTAATTAAAATGGGGCCACTAAACTAATTAGCATGGGGCTTTGAGTAAATATTTATGTTTGTGTATTTTTTGTTGCAAATGACTAATATTCCAAAACTCTAACTTTTACAGAATGCTTGAGACAACCGAATTCGCAAGCGATGCGGTTTCTTTGGTGAAGTTTTTTTCTTCTTCTTTTCATAAAGCGGAGGCGCTTCCAGCTAGAACACACACGCGCGGTTTCCCACCCAACGTACGAACGCCCCTGTGCCGCCGCATGCACGCACAGCCTCGCGGGAGTGAGACTGTCATCCGATACGTCTGGCTGCAAACACAGCAAAACACCGGGCGAATGCGGTCTGGAAAACCCTTCACAAATGAGGTGCCGGTGCGGAGGGAAAAAATGACATCACCTCCTCCTACGCGACACTCTCATGTTTCACACAGGAGGTGACCCGGAGAGCACCAAATCAGAGGGCAGCTGTAGGGGAAGGCCGTGTTTTTGTTTGTTTGTGGTCGTGTAGCGATGAGAATGCTGCAGCCTATAGGCTCGCGCCGTTGTGCTGCGCGGCTCTGCTATGCGTTTATTTTTTTTTTGTCGGGGTTGTACCGAGCGTTGGTCGGCATGGCGTCGCGACGTTTCGCTCCACGTGCCTTGGAAGTGCCGTCAACGTTCCTCGATTTCTGAAGAGGCTGCCCCCGGCATGGGGTGCAAAATCGTCGGCAACGTCGTGATGAACAACACGCGGTTCAACCAGAAGTTACAGCGGAGAGATTGTATAGCACAACTGTGAACCTACACCAAGAAGGACAATGGCATTGTCATCAGCAGAATGTATTTATTTTTATCCTAAAAAGGACTGTTTATGGAAAATGTGGATATTGAGATCATGCGTGCCTCTGACATTGCACACACGTATGGTGTCTCTTTCAGAGAAACATGTTTGCGAAAATATTTTGGAATTGTAGGGAAATTACACGCAGTCGATTTTCAAACAACATCTGGAATGGAAAGATGGGAAGCTTTCATCTGCACTAAAAAAAGGAATGTAAATGGAACTCTGGCAGTTAAATTACTGTTTGGGGTTTATCTTTAATTACAGGCTATCTTGTGACAGTCTTAATATTTATGGTGTGGTGTCAAAATAAAATCGTACAATGTTACATTTGTAACTCGTACTGATACTGGGCCTTCTGGAATGTGTTGAGAAAAAAAAAACACTACTGTGTGTACGTATATGCCAATTGTTATCATTCCAATCCCAGATAATTGACAAGGGAAGCCTCGGTGATTATTTAATGCTCATTTTCATCGCGGCGTTCGGCCAAATTGTATTCATGAGCGCCTTGGGCGGCACGTGGAAAGGAAGTGGAGGTCCCGTAGAAAACCCACGCGTACGAGGAGGCAACTCGGAAGCTCTGCACCGATAGATTCAATCCACAGAATCAATGCAGCGAGTGGACCAAATACGTCTGTGGACCGCTGCCATTGCTGCACTGCCATCTGCTGGCACCTTATAGCCACTGCCATGCATATGTGCACGCTTGCATAAAACCGGCGATCGCAAAAGTTAACTTGTGGGTTCTTTGCTCTCATCGAGAGTGGGTTGTAGCCAATCACAACACTTAAACTCTTTAGGCAATGTCAAGTATTCTTTTTGCACAATGTCAATATAAACACATTAGTTTTGGCACCATGAAGGAATGAAGGAATATAGTAGTGTAATTCGAGAATTTGTCTAAACCTCAATGTGCAATTAATAGTTATTTCACAAGTGCAGCATATCACTTCAATATAATTGATAACTTTCAGTCATTTTCATTTGTCAAACTACTTCTGGGTGAAGGTCTTCCTGCACCGTGTCGAACTTTGAGGGTTGTTTAACCACACTGGCCAGTGTATTTTGGGCGAAGGAGACCGCCAAAGATCGGTTCAGATATCGCTCGCTGCCAACTGTTTAGCCGTGGCCAACTCGGCTACCCCGAGCCCGTAGCGCGGTGCATCAACCGCTGTGTCACCGTTTCCCCGTGGTATATATCGCAATATTGGAAATAAATAACGCGGGGGGAAATTCTGACGGCGAGGGGAAACCACGAGGCTTTGTTCGCGTCGCGGCCGGGGTCGGTCGTTGTTGATCTGTGGGAGGCGCCCTCGTTGCTGTGCAAGTTCCTGCATCTGATACAGATGGCCTTGCCCCCGTGGAGACTTCCCGCATTCCTGCCTTGATGTGAGTGGTAATGGTGCAAGACAAGAGCGCAAGCTCTCGCCCGCGGCCCCCACGAATGCAATTAACAGATGGATGGAAACATGAAAACAGGACGAATGGGCCGCCCCTCAAGGGCCGATTCCATTTTCCGAGCTCAATTGGTTTTCGTGATCAAAGTTTTAGTCCCCCCCCCCCCCACCACGCGCCAGCCTCCTCCCCTCCTCCTTGGCTCGTTATCGTGACCAGATTCAGTTAAACCACCGTGAATGATATAAACAGAGCTAATTGCTTTGGGGTACAACGATAAAGAATTCGCACTGCTATGCCTCAGCCCTGCTTGTTTAACTCTTAAGAAATTGGGTTGTTGACCCACGGTCAGTGTGAAGTTAGGGGCATTTACTCTATATAAATGGCAATGTTTAAAAGAAGAAAATACAAATTATGTTTGTTATTGACTTTTAAGTGTTTTCATATTAATATTAACAGTGTATTTAAAAATCCCTGTATATACAACAGTTAAATGTTGAGATTATATAATTGGTTAACTATTATGATTATAATTATCCATGATGGTAACTACACAGGAATGAAACTGTCTGTGTGCAGCTTTTTATCTATTTAAAGTAGGCATATATACAAAATGCATATATCTAATGAAAGGCATACTTTTTTTTGGAAAATACATTTTATCGCTGCAACAAAAGGTCCTCCCACGATGCAGAGTACGGTATAGTTGCAGGGATTCAATAATACTGGTAGGAACGAAGTTGTAAACTGAGTGTACCAGCCTGCAATAGATTAATGTGTCCGTCCGTCCGTCCACTTTCAATACTTTAACGAAGTGAAATCTCGTGCTGTTGGGTGTAAAATCAGCAATAGACAGCGCAGAGACTTGTCCTACCAGCCCACCCTGCAGGGACCTGTTTTAAACTGGCCATTCATAACCCACCGCGCGGGGGGTGGTGAAATGTTAACTACCTCGCCCAGTTTACAGGAGGACGTGGGTTCGATCCCGATCCCGACCCTGACGCCTGTTGCATATTCGGAGTTTTCGGGCTCTCCCCGTCTTCGCGTGGATTTTGCTCCGGGTTCTCCGTTTTTTTTTCCCTCCACATTTTGAAACACGCGTTTACGGTATTTGGCTGATAAAAATTTCCACGCGATAAGCCACTTCGTAAAGCTATCATTCATGGCCAGGTCGCTTCAGAAAAAAAGGCTATATAGCTCAGTGGGGCTTTACTTGGTAAAGTAAAAATAAAAGTTTTTTTTTTAGTTTAGAGTTTTAGATTACAGTAAAAACACATGCACGGTGGTGGCTGAATGTGGGGGGCGGGGAGAGGGGGTATACGAGTTATCGTAGCGGACGCATGCGCACATGGTGCCATGAATGTACTTCAGGTGTTCCACTCTTGTTGCCATATGATGGAACAAATGTAACCAAGGGCAATGATCACAGCCCCACATATGCCAAGTGGACGAGCCCTAGATGATCGATTATGTAATTATTTGCTTGCCTAAGAATTGGCTAATTGGTTACAAACCCGCGCCAATTTGTCTCGTTAATGTGTGGGCTAATTGCCGAAACGTGCACAGCAGTGTTCGCCGATTGCGGGACTCGGGTGCGTTTTGCTCGTTTGGACGTGAAGGTGTTTAGCAACGCTGATTGTGCGCACGGTTCGCTATTCGCAATGATTGATGCGAGCAATCACGACCGCGATGGAATGATGAGACCTGTGTGTGTGTGTGTTTGTGTGCGCGCACGCACGCACGCACGCGGGTCTGACGTAGCACAGCAGCAGCAGCACGCACGCGTGCGCCAAGCTGTGGCTGCAATTGCAGAGATAAGCAGCGTGTCTAGGTGTCAAAACATCGCGACCGTTTGCGGTTTGGCACCGGTGAGACACCGATTATATCCGGCCAGGTGGTCCGGCAGGAGAGCGAGCAGGTTGCGAATTCAATCCTGATTGGGGGGGGGGGGGGGGGGGGCGCGGAGGGGTTGAGTCAGCCAATCATTTTTTACCATGGTCGCTAAGTTGGTACCGCTTTGTGGGGAAGTCTTCTTCTTTCATGTGGCTGATGTAGATGTGGAGCAACGACAACAATTTCACATTCAAGTGGTCAAAAGCCAGATAACCGCGTCAGGAGCAGCGTAGTGTATCGCTGTGATGTCTCCTTCGTATTTGTGGATCGGGCATGGCCTTGTTATACTTTTTGATTTAAAGCTTTCGTGACTGCAGGGATCCATAGTCTTGGTTCTTTCGGTAAAGTCACCACGTAGAAGGGAAACAATAAAATAATGTATTATTTTATATTTATATTTTTATTATCTTATTGTTTCCCTTCTCCGTGACTTTGTTATACTTTGTAAAGTCTGTTCTGGTCAACAGTGGTTGTCCTATCGATAACCTCGCCCCTGACATAGGAATTAGGAACATGGACCACTGCATCAAAGTGCTTAACCGGAGATGAGCACCGTTTTAATGCTCTGTTTCAGAGAGAGAGAAAAAAAAATATCAGCAATTTGACTTTTTGACTTTAAGGTTTTAGACCCGGAGTGTCAGCATTGCCTTGGATATCCAGCTTCAGTCCGCATTTATATTTCTACGTTTTTTTTACTGTATGTGTTTATTGTTATGAGGCATTGTTTATGTCATCACAATATTAACTCATTCTCCAGTTCTGTGTGTTTTTTTCCATGACAGCTGTATCACCAAGGTAATTTAAAAGAAGGGGGAAAAAAACAATAGAAAAAATGTCTTGGACCAGAGTCAAAGTACACATTTGGGGACAATTACACATATACTTTACAACAATGAGTTTCCAACATGGGCTATCTATCTTGCACGAGACCTTAGTTGCTTACAGATTTCGTTGGTATCTATTTTAGACTCTCAATACCTGAATCGGGACATATGAACTGAATTACTTAATCCCAGAGTAATGTGGATGATTAACGCATGTATTCATGTTCATACTGATATTACCCCACACACACTTGCCTGGTTGTTGCCGTTGGCCACATGGACGTTATCCATCATTCATCGCAGTTTATATATGTTTTTAACCGTAACTTCATTACATTTTTTATACTTTATCTAGAAGTAACGGTGCTTGCAACATAAACTTTTGGTTCGCGTGAACAGGTCATGATGCATTTGAATGATCTCAAACCACCATGGGGGAACCGTCGGGTCAGTATGCCGACGAGTACCACCTGCAACTGGGAGATTCTGGCTTAGCTCGTGATTCTCTGGGAAGGATGGGGCGCCACGGTGGCTAGGAGATGTTAACTACCTCGCCTGGTATACAGGAGGTCGTGGGTTCGACCCGACCCTGATGCCTGCTGTATATTTGGAGTTTGCGTGTCTCTCATCATCATCACGGTGGCTAGGAGATGTTAACTACCTCGCCCGGTATACAGGAGGTCGTGGGTTCGACCCGACCCTGACGCCTGCTGTATATTTGGAGTTTGCGTGTTCTCTCCGTGGTTGCGTGGATTTTGCTCTGGGTCCTCCTGGATTTTCCTTCCACAATTGGAAACGTGCGTTTTGAGTGTTTGGCTGCTATACATTTCCACGTGATAAGCCACTTCGTTGAGCTATCATTTGTGGCCACATCGCTTCTGAAAAAGAGCCGTATAGCTCAGTGGGCCTTACCTGGTAAAATAAAAAAAATAGTTTAGTTTTAGTTTCACGTACCTGCAGCCTTGGTGGGAGCGGGCGGAGTCGTGGTTGGCAGCGTCGTTGGCACGGTGGTGGTTGTGGTGGTGCTGGCTGTGGTGGTGGTGGTGCTGCTGGCCACTGTCTGCAGCAGAGTTTGGTCTCTTTGGATCTCGTTGATGAACAGCTGATTCAGCGAGTAGCGATGACTGTTCGGGGCCTGCTGCGGAGGGATGTTGAGCGTGTTTCGGTCGTGTAACCGCGGCGGCTGAGGGTTGTATGTCTTCCGACATTGCTCCTCCAGCCACGCGATGATTGTCGACTGGTTGTTGACGGCGGCCTTGAGAGTGTGGTACTTCTGCTCAAGGTCCTTGTACTTGCTGGCGAGCTTGAGCATATCGGCCGTTTGGTTGAGGATCTTGTTCTCCAGCTGGGAGATCTCCAGCGAATTGTCCCTCTTGCGAATGATCTCGTGCAGCAGCTGCAGGTAAAGCTGCGTCACGCGCGAGTTCATGTTGCGGCTCTCCTTGCGTAGGAGCTTCACCTCGTTGACGATCCCGCCGTCCACCTCCACCATGTGCTGCAGCCCCTCGATCTGCCGCTTGTGCTTGAGCAGGTCGTCCCTGATCTCCTCCACGTCCCGCTTGGTGACGCCGCTGCCCGCGACCTCCTCCTTGGCCGCGCCCTGCGAGTTGAGGCAGATGGGCCCCGTGACCTTCTGCTGGGGCACGATGAACGTGTACGAGCACTTGCCCTGTGTGTCAGTCGAGCGGGTGTACCGCGGCACGTGGATGAACTCCATGTCGTCCTCGCTGCCCGGGAACATCTCCGCCTCCTTGCGCTGCGCTCCCGTCGTTGCCGCGGCAAGCAGGAGCAGCAGGCAGAGCCCCATGGTGTCTCTCGTTTGAAAAAGTGCTTTGCGAAAGTTCGTGGCATCCATCGTTTTGTCTACTGTGCAAAATGCGCTAAATATTCAGCGTAACGTTTTACGATGAAGACACGCTCCGTTAGAGCTGATGATGTGTTCCTGCAAGGAAATAAAGGTTGACAGTCAAAGCGTATATTGGCATACGAAAGGATTCGCGTGTAACGTTCTACAGATGACAAACTCGCTGAGGCTGCGTTCTTCAAAACACAACTGAATTTGTTTTTGGTAAATAAGGAGCGTGGGAGACCAACACGACATCTGACCACAAACCACTTAAAATTGCAACTCATTTCCCATTTGGGTTACAATTGCTTTTGCTCTCCAATATTCAATAGAACGGCCTCCAATTGTACTGGATAATTAGGTTAAAGCGAAGTCGGCGTTTGTAAATAAAGACAGCGTGTGATTGAATGCCTATAATTATTCCGAACAACCTGCCCTCTGTGAAGCATAGGAAATGGTTTGTGAGCCTTAATGAGTTAATAGCGTGTCTCTTCCTGTGACGTGGAGCTGACCGGCAGCAAATGCGCAGGACCAAGACACCCATACAAACGGGGGGTGCCAAACAGACCGACTAGTTTTGTATTTGGTGTCACTTGCTTTTGAGCTCAACTTCATAACAGGTTTTTTTTGCTTGTCAGACTTAATAGAAACGGCATTTGTTTTTACTGAGGGAACTCTTGCCTCATTTAGGCACAATAAATATGTTTGTGATTTATATATGTTTTCAATTGGTCCTCTCTCTCCTTTGTTAAGTGGGCAAATGAGCCCATGTGAACCGGACGATGTATATCACATTGCAGATTTAATTAAACAGGAAGGCGAATAAGCATGTGTATGGAACTGTAAACATTCCTTCCCGAGAATTTTGACTCGTAACTTTATTTTGTGCTTTTATCAACGTGTACAGAACTTGTGTGTAACTCTGTGGGACGCTTTAAACCAAGTCTTGATATGGTACCAGTTATTTAAGTCACATGCTGTAAATTGAAACCCTGCGTTGAAATTCCACATGCCAGAGATCTGCTTAGAGGGCAGGAGAGAATTGAATTGTACTTTGTCAAAATTAGATCTGACTCGTTCCATTCAGGGAATTGCAGGTGGAAGGTTAAGTTGAATTTTACATTGTTTAACTTCACAAGAGGCCATTATTTTGAGAAGTGGCTCAAGAAGGAGCAAGGGTTATGCCCACATCCTATCTGAGCTGACAGTTCACATCCACGTCAGGTGTGTGCTTCGCAGTGCAGTGCAGCGCCGTGGCACAGAGCTTTGATCCAGCTGTTCCTTCGTCATTCTCGAAGCACTTGGCGAAGGTGCCAGCGGCAGCTGACTGAACGCAACTGCTTCTCCGTCCTGAGCTCAGTCCCCGGCGCTATGAACGGCTTGCGGTGATGCATGAACGAGGGCCAACGTGTGCGCGAATGTAGCGCCCTGCCAGCGATATGCGTCGGTGGCATTTCGTCGGCGGGTCTGCCGCCACGTGTTTCCCAGCGAGTTTTGCGAGTGAGAGCGAATCGCGGTCAGGTGCCCTTTAAATTAAAAACGGCTCATTGTCAAACCCAGTTTTGGCGCAGCATGCCGGCACATTGGGCACAGTCGGCGTGCGCCGGGCTGCTTGGAAGGTGGCCGGCCTTCCCCCGGCTCATGTCCTTTGCCCTTTTCTCCATGGGAAAGGAACCGCGGAGTCTGAGCCAGGGCTTTCAAAACGTTCACAATCAGCTGGGCAGAGTTGGTTGTCCCCGGGCCATGCACAACAAGATTCATTTATACAAATGAAAAATATATATAATATAAATATATTTAAATATCATATATATATTTAAATATAAATATATTTCTTTCAACCCCCCCCCCCCCCCGTGTAATGATTTTTAATCTTGAAAGTTGAGAGTCGTGATCGGGACATGTATATGCCGTTTAGGCACCGGCTTGCTTCTCCACCGATCTCTTGTGGCGAGATGAATTGTCACGATTCTATTCTCTCACCCATGCTTTTGTCATTATGGTGGAATGTAGCACCTCTACGTGGCTGCACGGTTTGTGTTCACAAATTTTTATATATAATGATATATATAATGATATTTATAATGATATATAATGATATAATTACATGCATGCCACGAACAGTGTAAAATACCAATGATACAAAAATCAATGCTGCACAGCAAGACGTAATGCATACCGCACGTGTTTCTTGAACCTTTTACGAAATATTGTTTTCATGAGAAACTGCAAGTGCAAAAATATAATTAATTATATATCATTAGTGTCAATCGTCTTTGAGGGTTGTTTTTTTATCCCCAGAGGTTTATTTTATAAAAAGAAAGGGCACAACTTAATTTTCTTAACAAAATTCAAATTAAATAGTCTTATGCATCTGCAGGCATGAATTAGAGAGTGTTCATTTCGTTAAATCAATCATAACCGTCTTATGTTGTGCCTACTCGCTTGTTGCTAAAAGGTGTCAACTGTGATTTGACCTTCGAAAAAACCTTCACGTGATTTCACTGTGGCCTTACAATTGTGTGACATTTGCAAGTATGGGCTGCTCAGCAAAACTTATAAGTGCTATGGGCTGAAAAAACAAATGTGGTCTTAAATAGCATGTGCAATATGTTGGCTCATGTTCACAAAGCCCAGACATATTTTGATGATGTCATGTAATTCGCGTAAAAAAACCCCATCGGTTGAACCGCACGGTAGTTGCACGCATGTACACGTTTAATTGCTGCCTTCATGTTTCCTTTCACTTTAAATGAACAATGTGGCATTTTACCTAAGCTTTTTTTGTATTAAATATTGCCCGCAATTCGTTCTTATGTAACATATGCAAGGAGTTGCACACAACCGTAGAAGATCTCACTGCAATTTCCTGACCCATGTTGTTGCATGAAATGTGTAACACGCCCAGGTTTATTTACAATTCTTACCAAGGTTCATATATTCATGCAATGCCACCTGAAATGTCCAGATATGCACAGCAAAAAAACTCAGACCCACATTACCAGGGGGCTACGAGGTGGCCAGGAGGATATGGCAGAACAGCAATCGTTTAATCTATATTTTAATTGAGGTTATTTCTTTTGGGTTAGGTCGTGCAAATATGAATTTGTCATTAAACCCACCACCACCCGACACAGCCAATTAGTAAGGTTTTGCCACGTAGACAAAACATGGCAATTTGTTACTCGTTCAGCACTCCAGTGTTTTGTCAATTAGTTAAAGTCATGGCCACCTGGTATTGTGTTGGAGAGGTTTACTTTCCAACACACTGAGGTGCTGAACGAGTAATGAATTGGGATGTTTTGTTTACGTGACAAACCTTACTAATTGGCTCTGTCGGGTGGTGGCGGGTTTAACGACACATTTCTATTTACGCGATTTACCCCACAAAGACTTCTATTATGGGAACTATTGATCGTGAAAGCGTACGTGTTAAAACAAATCGATATTTGTGGATCCTGAATGGCCATATCCCCTCTGATGCACGAGATTTCTCCACATACCGTGGCATCTTAAAAACCAAAAAACAATGCCAAGTACTCATGAACAGAATTGGCCACACACCCCAATGTATGACACTCCTCTAAAAAGCTTCAAATTTGGTGAGGCTGTCCAGGATGAATGACATCATTTTTACACGTTGGCAGTGCATACATATATCTCGAAAACATTTCTTGTGTTTTAACTTTTCTGCATGCGAATATGCATTGAACATATTGGGTGGCTTGAAAAAAATGTTAAAGTTCGTCCTAAATCAGCCCAACTTAAATTGGGTAGTTACTTGTAAAATAATAGAGTGAATGATAAGTTTGATTCCCGGCCATGGCAAACATTATCGGAACCCATCCTACCACCCCCATTCACCAACTCGCACTGCCAAGCATGGTGAAGTATGGTCAAACAACCCCAATAATTGGCACATCATGTAAATGCCTTCATCCACTAGTAGATTGTAAAAAGGGCTGTAAATAATAATTAATGAATGTTATTAATATGAATATTATTCTTTAAAAATATATATAAATTTCCATTAATTTAAATTCCCTTTTTTAAAAAACATACACAGAAATGACCGCTCAAATACATTCATAACGATTGTGAGTACTCTATATGTAACTTAATTTTTTGTTAATTTTCTGCCAATCCTGTTAAAATCTGTGTGAATGACTTAAGCCACCCATTTTCTTCATCGATGTAAGTAATACATGAGTCATGGCTTAGAGTGCCTGTCCAATCAGTCCATGGCCAGCTGGTTAATGCAGAAATGCTTCAGGGAGACTTTTGGCTTTAACTCTAATTATAGATCTCTTGGGCATGTTGGGTAGGCCGTGCGTTAAAGATAGAAACTTTTAATTTGCTTTATTTTTACCTCCCTGTTCCCCCGCAGCACATTATTAATGCGTGTGCTTGCGTGTGAAATCGTGCATGTCCATCTATGAATGTCAGTGCATGGATCACCACATGAATGGCCACTATGTTGAAAGCGTAGATGTCTGAAAACTTGATTGAGCAAACACGTGCTAATTTGGAGTCCTCATGTAAATGGTTACCCCAAGGGGGGGTGAGGGGGAGAAATCTCACTGGGCTCCATTAACTGTGCCCCTTATACTAGTTACTAAATTCACGCGTGGAAAAAATACATTCTGTAGCTCACATAAGTACAACTATAAATAGATCCCCTTGGGAAATAGCCTCGATTTTGTTTTGTGTTTAAACAAGTTAAACTACTTAACACAACACATACACGCAATAAGTACTCAAAAATATCTAAAACATGACAGAGCTGCACATAAACTGTAAACATGTGCTCGTGTCTTTATACACTTTATATCTGTGTGTACGTGAGTGGGTATACCTTGGGATATGAACACACGTGTTCATTTGAGCCTGTGTTGCAAGGAACTATATAGCGTGCGTGTATTTCTGAGAAATGTGGAGTCTGCCCAACTGTTTTGTGTCTAAAAAGTAATTTGTATCCACATTTACATCCAGCTCCTGAAATCCAAGGAAGAGGAGACATGAATAGAGGGAATTCATATATTGCATCTTCCCCTATCTCACACGTATATCTCCCTAATCATAGGAGCTGTAGATATGCATCAGATTTCTCTACATTTCATAATTTGTATGTTATTATTTTGGCCCCTTGTTTTAAATGTTAATTTGAAGGCACTTTATTGTTTTTTGGGGGGATTAAAGGGCAACGTTTAAATCTTACATTCTGGCTCGCAAACAACAACGGTTTTATTAAAAGTCATCCTATTTTTTCTCATCTATGCCAAAACTTTAAAAAGGAAAATAGAAAATAAACGAAAGAACTCAAACCACATGAGTCTGGGCATTTGTAAATATAAGCTAGATTATGCTCACAGTATGCAGGCAGTGGTATGTTAGAATTCTCAAGTATACTATTTTAACATACTTTTATGTGGGGCTTTAATATCAGCATATCAGATAAAATGTGAACTTTAGTATTTCGGAAAATAAAATCCGAGCTGAGCAAACATGGGTAAACATTTTTCAAAACAAACCCATGCTGGCTTCCATAATAAATATGTAAAATGTGTTCAATGTGTTTTTCATTCATGTTATCGCTCTGTTGTTATCGTGTTATGATGGGTATCTTAAATGGCATTGTGTGTTTATTTTTTAATGGTACGTATCATTGCTCTAATTTGAAATAAGGCTACATCTTGACTCCCGGTATCCATTGGACACAGACTCACGCCCACATATTGCCGCGTGTGTGTGGACGTGGTAGTGTTGCGGTTCGCGTGCTGAGCTACGAACCCGTCGACCCGAGTTCAAGTCTCACTCACCAGTGATCATTGGCAAACACCAGTGATGATTATCTGAACCGGTCCTGAACCTCCCCTAGGTCGACTCGGCCTCAAACGAGTACCTGGTGCTGTGTGTATACATTGACATTCGGGAAACAAAGGCGGCCGGGCGTGGTGCTGGCCACCCACCCCCTTGTGTGCTGTGCTGGCCATTAAAGGTGCTCGCTTACAGCACTTGCCTCTTACAACCTGTTGAGGCTCATACGGTCGATCTTTGTCTTTGCAGTGATTAGCGCACTGTGTTACAAATCAGACGACCTGAGTTTGATTTCCTGCTCATGACCAATAACACTGGTGAATATTTGAACCTGTCCTGGACCTCTCCCTAGGTTGACTCAGCCTTAAATCAGTACCTGGTGCGGCATTGCATACATCAGCCCCGAGGAGACAAAGGCAGCCCAGCGTGGTGTTGGCCACCCTCCCCCACGTGTACGGGCCCAGCCTTCATAGGTGCTTGCTATCAGCAATTGCCCCAACCGTCTGTTAAAGGCTATATGGGGGAGATCTTTGTCTTTGTGTGTGTGTGTGGCCGTGGGTGCAGTGAAGCGCTTGCGTGTCAAGAGGGCTCTATGGGGGAGGTTACTCCTTGTTGTGTACACTTTATTCCTGATGGGTTTTTGAGTCGACTCGGTGATTCACCTTTTGAAGGCGGTCAATAGTCAGTTGGGGGGTGGGGGTTGAGTGAGCACGCATTGGTTTAGCGCACTGCACTGTGAATCTGGTGACCCTGAGTTAGAGATTGATGGTCATGGTGACCATAAGTGTGGAATGATATCCAAGTCAGTTCTTGGTACCCCTGCCCCCTTCACCAACCCACACTAACCAGCATGGTGAAGTATGGTCAAACAACCCCCATAATTTATTCAGGCTAGGAAGGGCTTTCATGCAGCAGTGTATTTGGTTATGACCGGCTAATGCTTCGCCTCAAGGATACTGATGTCCGGTATCATTGGACGCATTAAAAAAAAAAAAATTGGGGACTTTTTATGTTTTATAACTTATTCTTACCTTTAAAAACATGTTTTGTCCCCTACCACATAATTGTGACGTTTCCAAAACAGTTGTGAAAATAAGACCTAATTATTAAAATTCCCAGATGTTATAGGCAAGGGGGGGGGGGACCCTCTTTCTAATTTATGGGTCCTACTTGACGCACAATCGTGTAAAGCATAACACAACAACGCTTATGATTATTTGGATCAAACTACGAAGGCTGGTTACCTACTAAAATCCAACACTGTGAAAGAAAGATATGTTTTACTGAATATTAAAGGTAAGCATATGGGCGCATGTGAATTCACCAGCATTGATTTTAGCAACCCTGACTGCTGACGAGACACTATGGTTGAAACGAGCGCAGAATATTCTTGTACTGAACCAACGCTGAATGTTATGCCCTCTCAGAATGGTTTTGGAATGTTTTGTTTTGTGGAGACACAGATATATTAAGGCAACGTATCGTCTGCTTATCACTTTTATGTATTTTAAAACAAGGTATGCAAATTGTTGCAGTCTACGACGGCAAATGAATTGTAAACGTCTGCTGGTGCTTTACATTACAGGGTCCTACATTCACCACCGGATCACGTAACACTCGCCGAGAGTCTTATCTCACACTGTGACTGTACTCATTAGGGCTGCTTCCTTCATCCCTTCACCCCAGAATGTTGACATTTCAATGCGAACCCTAACTTTGGTCATGGCCTTACAAAAACACCTTCCTTGGAAAAATATGCATTGTAACACACCACATTCCTTGTGCCAAGGTTTTTTTTTCTCATTTCTGCCTTCACGCCTATTACCGCACCTCGAGATAACTTTAGTTTTGGGCCGCCTTCACGATTAACCGCGTTTGCCCGTGACAATAACTTTTTCACATGTTTATTTTGCATAAAATTACTTTAAGCACACTGTACATTTACACGCACACAATCTTAACGCGTGCAGATGGCACGTGAATGTAATTATATCTGGTGTTATTTTGATCACATCTTGTGGTGTAAAATACTCAGCAGTTCGTTTTCCTTTAGTGGCACCAACTTGAGTTGCCTTGCAGCACATTTGACGATTGTTGCGATGCTATATTTCAATGCATTGATGGTCACATCACAACATTTTCATATACCCATTTACCCAAAGAGCAAATTCGGTTATCATCACTCAGAGGACAATCTTGGCTTTTCAACGTATTATATCAATCCTATCTTTTTGCCAAACCATGATTCTTTAAGGATGTTAGCATGATTGATGCAATACAATACGAACATTGATTTCACGACACTGGACAATGCTCATACTGAAAAAGTGCAATGCAGCCACCGGGCATAGTTAAATCATTGCATGTTTTTATTTATTAACATCGCTTAATTGAGCGCAACAACAAACAAAATGTAAAACCCGCGCGGTACCTTGTCATCCTCTTGTTTTCCTTCTTCGTGGTGGTTTATGCATCGTCTACGTTAGGAATGCATCGCCGGCTCACAGCACAGGCGCTCCAGATGAGCGCACAAAGTTTCTTCCGCGTGAGAAAATCGTTTCTGTGGGACAGCGGCGGATCGAAACGTAAATCCACCCCTCCTGTCACAAGTCGCGTTCTGCCAAATATTGCGGTGCCACTGTTCCCACCAAGCTAGCGGGGGGCATTATGTGAACGCAGTCATTGACTGAGCCTCTGCCGCCGTTGCTGGGGATGGAGGAGGTGGGGGGGTCAGCCCAGAGCCCCACGGGCGGCGGTTCCTGGCCGTCTCTCTTTGGGAGCCCAAGCAGCGCCTGCTCCTGCTCTGTAATGTTGTTTTCTCGGCCGGCGCACGATTCTCACTCCCCTACCCCCCAACCCAGCACCCCCCCACCACCACCTCCTCCCCACCGCGGCGCCCCTCCAACCAAAACGCCGGGCCACGGTGTCCCTCCTCGCGCCGGCGGACCCCCGGCGGTCTCGAACTCCACGTCAATGTGCAGAGGCGGGACCCGTGATGTCACTCACGCCTGTGCAGGGGAGAAAGGGGGGGGGGGTTGAGAGGAGGAGAGAGCAAGGAGTTTGGAGGGGAGGGCACTGGGAGTGGAGCGGAGCCGCTTTGCGGGCCTTCTATTTATCACCCGTGTGGGCTAATCCAAACTTGGAGCTTCGCCAAATCGTGCGGTGACCCTAAACGTGGGCTGGGGCACAGGTATAAATTAGTGCTGGACATGCTGCATAATTGTACGTGTGCATGTTGAACTTCTTTTGCACCGTACCTGGCCAAGCGCGCAAATCGGTGGTGCAGGGGAAGGACAGCAAATTAAACACATTGTAGTTCTAAAGAAATTAGTTTTTATTTCGATTTAAAGCTTTCGTGACTGCAATGATTCATCTTCTTTGGTTCTTTCGGTAAAGTCACGTAGAATGAGAATAAAATAATAAATTGATAAAATAAAATAACACAATTATATTCTCACGACGTTTCTGTCTGGTAGGACAGCGCTGTCCTACCAGACAGTCTCGTCCCTTCACCTGATGAAGGCCGCTTGTGTTGTGGCCGAAACGTCGTGAGAATATCATTGTGTTATTTTATTTTATCAATTTATTATTTTATTCTCATTCTACGTGACTTTACCGAAAGAACCAAAGAAAATTAGTTTTTAATCTATATTATTAAAAGTGCATAGCTTGACCAAGTATTTTAAGTGGAACATGCTCAGCAGGCATCCCCATTACAGAACAAGAGCATTTTCTCTTAATTAGGGGTTCCGCAGGATGCTCAACAAAACTTGGCTGGCACTGTTCCCTCTTTTTATGGGTAGCAATATTAATTTATGTACTGTATTACAATGTAGCACATGTTAATTTTAAATTCCTCCTTCCCTTAGCAATGTAAACATTGATATTAATGTATTAAAAAAAGATTTAAACCATGTGTCCCAAACATTTTGTGCAAGATTACATTTCAACGCACGAGAATGTGAAAGTACACTTTATAGGGCGTGGGCCCTCCAGCATCTTTCAGTGCTTTAAATATTAACATCTTGCCACGGTGGCAAGATGTTAACTACCTTGCTTGGTAAACAGGAGGTCATGGGTTCGATCCCCGACCCTGACGTCTGTATATTTGGAGTTTGCATGTTCTCCCCCGTGGTCGGAAGGATTTTTCTCCGGTTCCTCCGGTTTTCCCTTCCTCGTTTATAAACATGCTTTTAGAGTATTTGTCTGCTATAAATGTCCGCCTGACATGCCACTTCGTTCAGCTATCATTTGTGGCTCGGTTGCTATTGAAAAATCTATTTAATTGAGTAAAATGAAAATAGTTTAGTTTCTAAGTGCCAGGAAGACGTATTCTTTCTGGTGGGCAGGTTCACTGCTGTTACCCCTCTGCGGAAACATCGTGGCAAAGGAATAGCAACCTATCTGAAAAATACCGATTTACATGTGTTCTGTTCATTGCCGGCACGGCATACTCTCCGACACCGGCCCATTTTGCCCGCTGATCTTTTACCATTTAACGAACCAAGACTTTTCTTTCGCAATGTATATGAACATCCGAGATTAAAAATGCGAACATTTGCTTCCAGTTAAAAATAAAAGGGAGAGAGTCAATCGCTCCCATACTACAGAATTCCCGACCGACTCGCTGACCTCCGAGGTTCAGGCTCAAGGAAACTCTCCTAGCAACATTGAGTAATGTCTAAAGTTATTAAAGGAAGAAGAACAGCCCGGTTGGAAAAAAAAAAGAAACATTCTTCCAAGCGCCGTAACAAATTGCACTTATTTAACAAAATTTGCGCATGTATGGATAGCCGTACTCTAAATAGTCACCCACGATAGTGAAAGACAAACAAAAAAACGGTGTTATGCCTGCGCATGTAGACGCATATAATGGGGAGCTGTAGCCTTGAGGTTAGCACATTGAGCTACACCGCATGCGATTCCCATTCATGGCTAACATCATTGGTGTAGATCAGAACTGGTTCTAGCCCTTCCCTAGGTTGATTCAGCCTCAAATGAGTACCTTGGATAAAGGCAGCCAGGTGTGCTTTGGCCACCCATCCCCTTTGTGTGCCATGCGGGCCGGCCTCCTCAATAGGTGCTCGCCAATAGGCTGTTAAGGATATACATGGGATCTCTGGCTCGTCTGGCTTATGCATTTTACGTGCAGCGTATACCATATTTGACAGACTGTGCACTTCTGCTTGTGTTGGTGGACACACCTTGCGACGCCGCGGCTGCGTAATGAAGTAACAGAGATCGCTCGCGCTTCTGTGTGGTACACGAGGTTTTTTTTATGAACCACCGCTGCGCCTTGTGGCCTCGGTGAGAATTTCTCCACCCGGGCCAACTGGCACAACAGAAGAGAGGGGGGCTTCTCTCTGCCCAGGCCGGGCTGTATTTGTGCAATTTTTTTTCCCAGAGTTTGGAGCAAATAAAAAAAAACCCACTGCCTTCTGGTTGGGGCAATGGCATTTCTGTACGGGGCATGCCAGGTGGCATTTTCTGTTGTTTCATTGGTTGTTTGCAGGACAGGGGCCTCTGGGTAAACACACAGGACTGGCGAGCAGCTCTGTACCAAGTAGAACTTGGCGTGTTTTTTGTTAGATCAAACTCTTTCAGATTCCATTTACTGCATGTGCGCGCATATGAATTGCAAACGATTTATACATAAATAGACTTGCAACAAAACGCAAATGGCCACTTAAGACATTTTCACCATGAAAATCTCAAGTCTGCATATACTTGTCCAAATGTAATTTGTTTTCATTCGGTACAACTGAACCAAAATAAACACCAAATTTTTCCTGCTTGACGTAGCCATTCACGATTATTTTTCTTTATTTCCTGCCGTTGCTGCTGCCTTTAAAATGCGACGTTTCATCCAAATATACTTTACAATGTGGAAAGTTGAAATGTGGTCATTTATAAACAATGAAAGGTGTCTGGGGGAAGGGACAACACTTAAGGAGCACTATTACTTCGAAGAATGGAACATTGTGTTCCGAAACACAAGGGTGGAGGTGGGGAAGAGCCAACAGCTGTATGCATAGCTGAGCATTCCCAAAGCCATAGACCCATGTGATACGTATAAGTACATATACTACAATTGAACATCAATGGGTATTCAAGTGGAAAGACCCTCCACAAGGAAGGAACATCAGCGTGCTAATTAGACGCAGCTTGCACATCACTCCCCGATGGACTTTGTTGATGACAGCCAGATTGACTCTGTTGTTCAATGTGAACACAGCTGATTGAATAGCAATTAGGGTGGAGAGTGAAGTTATTCTGTGTTAAAGCATTGAATGTGGATACGATGAGGTGAATGAACAATGCAATGCAAAAGTCAACTATAAATTACATCTACTTGTAGTTCGTAAAAACATGTAGACATGCACAAAAAATGTACCAGTGGTTTTGCTTGAATGACGGTGCATAATAAATGCATAATAAATGCTGTCAAAATACTCCAGTGTATTGTTTTACTGGAACTATTATCACTCAGGTTGTTAATTAGCAAGTTGTGTCGATTTTGGCTGGTTAAAACTTTCTCAATCAGATTGTTTTAAAGAAACAAAATGAATTGTTTTTTATATTTTGTCAATGAGCTTTTTCCTCGCCTTCCAAACTTTAAAGAATGGAGTGTATAAGGTCATGTTGTGCATGACTCTTCTCTCAGTCAACTCCCATAGAAAAATATGAATTTGGTGTCTCGTGGGATTCATGTATTGTTTCAAATAATTTACATGGACTAACAATGCATTGTGTTTAGCCTAAGGTGCGGCACACGCAACACGACTTACATTTGTTAAAATTAATTAACGAATTTCCAAATTAATCATCAACATTGCCTGATGACAGAACAAAAACCATGACAAGCTGACATTTCAGGCAAAGGCCCATCATTCAGAGCAGAAGGGTGGGGGGGGAGTGACTAAACACAGTTGGGCGTTGTACTGTACGCTGTGGTGCCCTGGGAAAAGTTGGGACGTTTTAAGTGAGTTGACAAATTAATTTTCGTATTGACATATAAACACTTTTGTCCCGACAAACATTGAGCATCGGTTAAGCCCTTACTGCTAGTTAATAATAAATCAACAAATGGAACTGAAAAAAATGCATCGTGGCAAAGTAAATAATATCCACACGGTGTGCAGGCAACTCATTGTCCACTAATGTAAAACCTGTGCACTGTATATTAGTAAAACACTTAATTTGTCAACTTTCTTATATTGACCAGTTTTTGCAGGGCCCTACAGTATAAGGTGCAATCTCCAATGTTAAGTCCATCAGCCTATGCCCTCTGCTCTGAGAGCATTATATAAAATGTACATCCAGTATTCTTATATGTTCTGTTGTTAGGCAGTGTTAATGATGAATGTGGTGACATTTGTTTTGATTCGTGCATGTGCACCACTGCCAACGAAATCCCCTCCACGCATTGTTTAGACCTGTGTCGGTTGCATATCTGTCAACCCATGCGGTTTACCCGTATTTTTGTACAGGGAAAATGAGTTTTCAGGTCCATACGGTGTCCAGCCGTTTCAGTACGGGGAGAAAAATGTGTTGTCTATTTATATTTTTCCCTTGTGATGGGGTTGACAGGTATGGTTTGAATATGGGAACTTTTTTTGTCTGTTTGTTTATGTTTCTCCCTTGTGATGGGACTTTGTAGGATGAACGTTGAGATTTATAAGGGGCACAGGGTGACCAATAAGGTCCGAATTGGTCTGCAATAAGGTAGGCACTGATAAGCGTTAAGGACAGCTATGCGGTTGTCGAAAACGAATCCAGATCAGATACTGGAGGTGGAAGCGCGGACCTCTAATGTCCTCTGCTTGTGACTGCGTCGCTTCTTCTTGGCCGAACGTT